AAAAAAAAAAAAAAAAAAAAAAAAAAAAAAAAAAGAGGCAATTTTATTTTTCAGGATTCTTTATGAAGAGAAGTAACACACCCCAACTTCATCTCTCTTTACTGCTTTTCCCAATTATAATGGTTAAAATGCAAACTCTGCTTGACTCGGAGAACAAATGGTCCTTTTGAGGTCACCGGGCTTACTCGCTGGAGTAAGAATTGGATCTTCCTGGAGTAAAATGCAGGACTTCCTAAAGATGAATGGACTCCGCTCTAGAGAAAAAAATAATTCAGCGGCGCTATTTGGCAAAAGCAGTTCTTCAATAAATAAGGATTTATCTACTTCTGTCTGCTGTCAGAAACTGGATTACTTGCTGATGGATAGCAGGTGCTTCCCGTAAAAACGCAGAGAATGTTTTGGGAGCTTGTTTGTTGCAAACATCGACCTAACATATGCTGGATGGCACGGAAGCTCTGCTCGGAAAAACAGCATCAGAATCGAAAACGAGTAAAGCTGAAACCTCAAAGGTTGTCTGAGCCAAACTGGAGATTATCCAAGCTAAAGGAGCAGGGCAAACAGTTAAAATGAGGTACCTGCAACCCCCCTTTTTTTATTATTTATTTTAATAAACCTCTTTTTTTTTTTTAATAAACCTTTTTTTTTTATTATTTTTATTCCTCTATAACAGCGGTCGTATTTAGGGTTACCAAGGCAAACAGTGTTACTCAAATGACACCACGCGAAGCTCAAGTCTAGCGCCGGGTCTACTTTCTGCTATCACTCGAATGTTCTCGTTTGATCCAAGGGTGGATTTTTCAACCAGCTCTCTAGAAACGCTGCTGCTCTGGAAACAAACCCAGAAACGAGCCGGGGACGCACCGTTCCCTCTTACTCCGACGTGCCCCCCGCCCATGACCCAACGTTTCGCTACAGCCTTACGCAGCCATTTAAACCTCAAACCACCCCACAGCTTCATCCAACAGCAGCACTATTCTAAAGCCTTTTTTTTTTTTTTTTTAAATTAAATATATAATCATTTTCTTTCTCTTGCTTGCACTCTCGCTATTTAATTTTTAAGTAGTTTGCACACTGGAGTGGATTGCAGTCAGTCCTTTTCCAGCATACATAAATAGTCCTTTCATTATCAAAAAGCCAAGCCTTGAAAGAAGAGTCGAGAGTTTGGCACTGGTTCAAGTTACTGTAGCATAACAGGAGACTGGAAACAAGACCAAGTGATTAATTTGGCATCTCATTTAATTCATTTTTATCACTTACTTGTTAACTCTGATTTTAAGCTATTGCCTTGTCCTGAATTTTTATTCCGGATTGTCAGAATGAAATACTGGATTATTATCATAAAACTGTATATATATATACACCCAGTTTCCACTCTGTGTGCACTTAGAGATATTTCTTCAGGGCACAGGACACTCTTGTGCTCTCTGTTTTCTCACGAATTGCAAGTCAGTGCTTCAGGCGAGTTGTACCGGAGACGGTTCCCCCGTCCCTCTTACCTGTTTGAGACAGAAGTGGTGTATAAGGGACTTTCGGTTCTATTGCACTCATGGGTGGAGGTAGCAAGGGGTTGGCAAAGCTGCGGAGAGGGTGAGTAGGGCGGACGCAGGCAGTGGGGATGGTTCTGCTCGGGGCATCCTCGGTGTTGGGGTGCTCAGGCTGCGTCTGCGGCAGCAAGGATGGCTGCTGTGGTGCTGGTCCTTCGTTAACAGCTGCAGGAGGAGAGTCAAAAAAAAAAAAAAAAATTTTTATGTTGCACTTCCTACTTTTATGGTCATTTTCAACAGAAGGGACAGCATCAGATTCCACCCTCCAACAAAGTGCAGGAAATGTGCGAACAGTTCCATCAAAAGTTATTGGCAGATGAATTAAGGAGAAGATGTTGCTCAGAGGGGCCGTTTGAAGCTCAAAACATCTTCCTTAAAAAAAAACCAAAACCACAACAAACAAAACAAAGAAAAAAAAAAAAACCAACAAAAAAACCCCAAGCATGATATTTTTATCTCCTTCTCTTTCCTCTCTATGTGCTTTTAAATATTAAAACCCAATAAACACGTTCATGCATCATGTGGAGGTGGAAACAAGGTATGGCCTATGGAAACTCGTTACATTCAGCTGTTCCAGTCATGGTGGAGAAAAAGCTGGAGACGAAGAAAAAAACTGAATTAATTTCCCCGTAACCAATCACCAGTGTTGTTTTCCCCTGAGACAGCTGTAACATTTAGTGTGCCAACGCAGTAGGCTGCTGGTTTATTCGCCTATATTCAGAGTCAATTTTTCAGCGATTTAAATGTTCCATGTCAACCTTCTAAGGGAAAAGACAGCTTCCCTACATTTGGCCGTGTTGTTTAAAAGGAGTTTTCAGTATCAACCTTTGTCCTGGACTTCCCGTGCCAGAAAACAGAAGCAAAGGGATGAAATATTAATGCAAACAAGGCTGAGACAAACAGAAAAACCCTCAATTTCCACAGACCCTCTAGAAACTCACGTCGTAGGCAAGCTCTAAATTAAAGCCTGATTTACGGTTGTGTAGGAGTTTTCAGGATGTTATATGGTCCCCAGTGTTGTCGAACATCCCCTCGAATGCAAAAAAAAAAAAAAAAAAAAAAAAAAAAAGG